CCACGGATATCTCAGAAAATGCAGTGACCATGCGCAACTGCTTTACCATGGATGGAAATGTTAAAGAAATCTCCAACAATGAACCTGACTCTGTGACTCGTTTACGAAATTCACGGCACTTTAAAAAGAAACTGCAAAATTACTGTCTCGCATTTCATAACTCGCCAGTAATGTCTGGCTGAGTTTAGGCTGAACAGCCATACTGAAAAAGAAAAAACACCAACTTAATGTTAGAAGATGAGGTTTAAAGATAAGTACTTCCTAAAAATTGTCCTGAAGGTTGTCGATGTCGTTCGCAGAGTCCTCGTCCTTTTTGACAAGTGGTCGCACGCCCCTTCAGGAGACTAAATTGTCTGGTCATCCGACTTCCTGTGACTTCCTATCCGCAAGTGTAAAGATAAACTAAAATTCTCGCCACGCCCCGCATAACGTGATTGATTCGCGATCGTTTGCTTAGACAAGTTAGTAAATGGCCACTGCATGGATGTTACAAAATTGCCATTGCAAGTCAGTAAGTTGCCAGAGCAAATTACTTAATCAGGGGTCATCGCAAGTTACTGAGCTGCACCTGCAAGTTATAAGAATACCACAACAAGATATTAGACTGCCATTAGAAGTTAATAAGTTTCTATAGGGAGGTACTAAAATAACATGACAAATTCCTAAATTACCATTGCAACGTACTACATTGCCACTGCCATTGGTTAGCTGCTGGAGTAAGTTACTAAATTGCTAATGCAATTTACTAAATAGCCATTTCAAGGTACAACAATACAAAGGCAAATTCAGTCTTAAATTGCCTTTGCAAACCGTACTAAATTGCCACTGCAAATTGCTCAGTTGCTATTGTAAGAGACTGAAATACCATGGCAAGTTATCAAATTGCTTTTGCAAGTTACTAAATTACCATGGCAAGTTATAAGTGTCCATTGCAAGTTACTAAAATGAGATGATAAATTCCTAAATTGCCATTGCAACATACTACATTGCCACTACAAATTGCTTAGTTGCTGGTGTAAGTTTCTAAAATACCATGGCGAGTCAATAAATTGCTAATGCAATTTACTAAATAGCCATTACAAGGTACAGGAATACAAAGGCAGATTCTTAAATTGCCTTTGCAAACTACTAAATTGCCACTGCAAATTGCACAGTTGCTATTGTAAGATACTAAAATACCATGGCAAGTTATCAAATTGCTTTTGCAAGTTACTAAATTACCACTGCAAGTTATTAAAATAAGATGGCAAATTCCTAAATTGCCATTTCAATTGCTATTGCAAATTGCCAAGTTGCTATTGCAAGTCACTAAAATACCATGAGAAGGTATTAAAATAAGATAGCAAATTTCTAAATTACCATTTCAAAGTTCTCAATTACCACTGCAAATGACATGTTACTAAAATACCGTGGTAAGTTACTAGATTACCTTTGCAATTTACTAAGTTACCATTGCAAGTTGTTATGTTATCATTGTAAGCCACCAAGTGATGCCATGCAAGTTTAGGTTGCAATCGCAAGTCGCAAGTCATTATGTTCCAAGATGTGGTCCGAAGTTAGCAACTTGCGCGCCAAGTTACGAAGTTACGAACCAACAAACAAACAAACAAAAGAAAAAATTCAACGGTAACGGTTAAATTCAACTTTCCATTAAATCATCGTTGGGAGGGTTAGTTGGATAACATATTAAAAAAGCTCACCAGGCTGTTGGTCATGAGTTGGAAGAATGGGAAGAGCCTCTGTGAAATACAAAGAAAAACCCTCGAGTATATGCGAGTGAACTAAATGGCATTAAGTAATTTTTCTTGAAAATACAACCTAGAAAAATAATTTCATCAGGAATTAAAAAAGCAAACACTGAGAGAGAGAGAGAGAGTATAAGCTAACAAACTCTGTATATCTTTAACCTTATTCACACATTTCCTTATTTTCTATACATATGTAGTTGTTTTTATGGTTACCCATTATTTGCATTTTATCGCTCGATCATAATCTTATTTTATTCAAACTACCATTAATGCTGGTCATATCTCTAAAGGCCTATTTACACGGTACGACTTTGTCGCATGCGACAAGCTTACGACAGGCCTACGACATCACTTAGGACAATTAACACGCGCACGACATTTTCACCTACGACATGCCAAAATCGCGTGCAATTCCACTCGTTTCGGCCGCGGTCATTGTTTCAATGATTTGCAAGAGAAGGAAAAGAACCTCTTCCTCGCTCCACAGTGATATCATATTCTCTGTTTCCTCATCTGAGAATGTATTTTTCGCTTTGGAAGCAGTCTTCGACTTTCCGGAGGCGACTTCCTCCGCCATTTTGACGCAAGAAAATTTCACCTTCCTCCCCTACTCAGTAGAAATTTGTCACAAAATACGTCATTTTCTATCAATTTCGGCTACGATTGTCGCAGCGTTTTAAAACATGTTTTAAAATCCTACGACATTTTTCGTGACGTGCACGACAGTCGTAAGCGAGTGGTAGGTTTTATTTACACGATGCAATTCGTGTTGTAGGCCTGTCGTAAGCTTGTCGCATGCGACAAAGTCGTACCGTGTAAATAGGCCTTAACAGCCATTTCCATCAACCCCTTCAGTGAACATGTTTCACAACAAAGGGATTTGTATGAGGAAAAGTCCAACAAATTAAAATAAAACGAAACAAGCGTGTCTCTGTTCGAATACCAAAACTGGTCATCTGCTACCTCAATCAGATTCAAAACTAAAACCAGTTGCGACTTGGTCACCCTCGTTTTCCCGCGCTTCATGCAGTTTGCTTGTTTTTACTTCGAGTTCGCATTAGATGCCTACCCGTGATATTTTTCTTCCTATGCCAGTTTGGCTTTTGAGATTGCTTTGGTTTTGATTTCACGACGCTCAATCGAAAAGTGCTCTAATGTGACATACCATACGTACCTCCTTTACCCACAGGACGCACTTAAAGAGGCTGATCCTGGTAGAACCCAGGACATATGTCACCTATGACCCCAACGTTACACGAGGCCTATTACACCGATGATTTTTTTTCAAAGCTTGAAGGTGACCTGTCATCGGAAAGTGTTGGGTTCAAATTCTCACCTGAAGTCAGATTTCCCTCTTTCCTACGTTAATTTGACATCTTTAAATTTACTTATTTTGTGCGAACATTTTTCCTCGATGGTTGTGTACTTTATAGCCAGTTCATAAAATCATTTTCTTCTTAACGAACCTGTCTCACAGATAAACCCGTTCCTCTGACTACATGACGCAGTCCTCCATCTTCCTTCATCTTTATGAGGATTCATGAGTACGCATTCCATGGACTGGTTATGTTTTGAGGGTTCACTGACATTCCAGTTGGTGTATCTGCGAGGACTGTTATCTGTCCAAAGGAAAGAGTCCTCCCAGATCAAGCCATAAAGGCCAATCCAAAAATCAGTGCTGGTTTCTCGAAAGATAGTATTCAAGAATACCTGTTCTTGCCTAGAAAATGAAAAGCCATAACCTCTTTTAGTTCGATTTAGTTTTGGTAAATAAACTTGTCTTCCAATTTGTTTGGACTCAACAACTGCTTAGTCTTAATTGGACACTAGTTGGAACGAGCACCCACTTAAGGGCAAATGCAATTATTTCATCGCTAATCAGCATCTTTAAAAATGCCTGAAAATTTGAAAACAAATCAAAGAGCATGTCAGCCTCGGAGAAAGCAATATGAATCAAAGGGGTTTAAAACGGTTTCGTTTCTCATTAAACGTCAATTCTTTGATTAACTGATATTTCTACTTTTTTTTTTGTTGAACTGAAGGAAACAAAGAAATGTCTGAACGAATTTTGCTAAATCTTGATCTGATTATCAGCCAGGTACAAATTCATCTCTGGATAAGAGGATGAGGAAGCAATTTTTCCCATTAGACAATCACAATATCTGTGGGTACCAATTAGGACTCTAGGACGACGTGACAGCAAACCTATTTCAGGAAGTAGAGTTGTATTCTGCCTTCAGAAAAGATTGCACAGATGTGACAGCTTATCATAAGAACATTACCCGACAAGCCTCGAGCACACCTCATCACGAAACAAAACAAAACACTGCATTACCAGTAAGTTTTCGACATAAAAGAGAAAAGAGACGAGCTAAAATAACCAACCGTAGAAGGCTCAGACTAGAGCTGTGGTATAAACGCGTAACTTGTAAGATTAATAATGGTAGAAGGACCAAGAGGAGTCCAATTCGGTCTTTAATCATAGGAGTGATTGACAAAATCGGGCGACCGCGAAGCAGGAGTTCTATTTGTTAATTACGAGTATGATTGCAGAAAGAATTGGACGACATAAAGTCCTGTTATCAATTAATCAAAACTATAACAAAATTTGAGAAAGAAGCTGGACATCAGTTGTACGTTTTCATAAAAAATAACCTACAGTTAACTCGGAGAAATGCGAGTCAACAGCGCGCGCACATGACGCGTTCTGTCCACATTTACAAGGCCTGACGTGTTAACTGTCCCTTTGACTCAGACATAGTATGATGCTACTCTGGTTTAAAGATTAAATGAATGTGACCGAGAAGTTACAATTCATAGACCCAACGTTTCGACACTCCTGTCTAGTGCCTTCATCAGGGGTGATCAAATTGCTGCGACAAGGGGTATTTGAATATGCTCACTAATTAGCTGCCCTTTTTTCTGACGAGGCGTAAGTGGGCGTCAGCTAATAAGCCGCCGTCATCACGATTTAACTGTCCTATTACACTGTCCAATTACAAGCATGACGCAAACATTGTGCTATTAGCGCTAAAATCGGGCTGGTGATAACCAATCATAGTAAATGCAAAGTTGCATACTTTGAAAGTTAAATTTGGAGAACGACCTTCAAAAGAAGGCTGATACGAAGGAGGGACACTGAAGTAAAACCCGGCCCAGCTCCACTCCCCCGACCCATGTTCCCATTCCTTCCTCTCCTCCCTTAATGTTTCTCTCAAGCCCTTTGACCTTGTTCTATTTCCCTTTGCTCTTTTTTTTTCAATTAACGATTCACATCATGACGTTTCTTGTTTCAAACCCACAAGGTACTTTATTTCAACCAAAATCAATCAAAAATAACATTTTAACTATGGATGAAATTGAAACGCACGAGGAAATAAGTCAAAGAAAAAACACTTAATCTGTGAGCACCGTTTCTTACTAACATCTCCTTGAAGCCGTCTATCGTTGCGTGACGAGACCAAACATGCTGCAGAAAAGAGCGGTCCCTTTGGTAAGGCAACTGGTTCTAACAACTAAAACGTTGATCCTTTCCCTTCGACGGTTGTAGAAAAAAACTAATCGAAACTGAACTGAAGAATTGAATTTGAACAAAGCCTGACAAACCCTTTTGTGTTTCTTTGAGGGTATGCAGTTTTATTCATTTATTCTGCTAAACTGAAATTCTGCTCATGGTTAATTTACTATGTTTGTTACATCCATTTTGAAATCCGTTGTGATCCTTACAATCTGACAGGCTCTCATCGTGCGATTTATCCACGAATCGCACCACTTTATGTTCTAAATCGCATCTTTTTCCAAGCCAATGAGACAACTTTATTATAACCCATCAACCATTCAAGGCTTATTTAAAGAAATCCATCAAATCGCAAGGAAAATGAAAGACAGCTTTTACAACTTTTTCCAAACCAGCTCATCACTGAATCAATAAAATATTTGTAGAGACTGAAATAATCTACATTTGAGCGACTGTATTTTGCGATTTCCAAATAGATGTAACAAATTGATAGCTGCTCTTCGTGTCGGGCAATTTTACATGTCATGCTGTTATTTTTGCCCCCTCGGTCTTTTTTCTCTTTTAACTTTACTTTTGAGTTCCTCTTTTATGTGGCTTTTTATCTACAATCAGTTAGTGCCAAAATCATTCCCAAGTCCTTTTAGGTCTGGCACTATTACGTACTCATTTGACTGGACTACGTACTTCGCTTGAAGTGAACCGATGTTGTGTCGGCTTTTCATCGTTGCAGACGAGCTCGCTCGTCCTTTCTTCACCTGCCAATAACAGAGACCGGAAGCTATGATCAACATAACGACCACGCCCACTGAAACTGCGATCACAGCCGCCGGGTACCTTATGCTATCAGTCCAACCCATTGATGTCTTCGCAACTGCTTCGCTTTCAGAACTGATGGATGTCAGGCTAACAGTAAAACCTAAACAAAAATTAACCAAACATATTTATCTCTCCATCTTGAATGAATTCCTTCCTTTCCCCCAGCACTACTTCAAAAAACATTTAAACCTTTTTCTTAAAATACAGATTTAAAATAGGCCACAGAAACGACCTGCTAATGTCGAAAGGATCTTCACAACTCGACCACAATTAAACTCATGGCATAAAAAGAAGTCTAAATACTTCAAGCTTCGACTAAGCCCCTCAAATAGGCCTGTCCTGATCATGCTCGTAAAAACACTGGAAAGTTGCTCACTGAAATGCTAAAAGGTTCCTTAAAAATTGCCAAAATTCCAAAAAGTTGCTACCTAAAATTTGTTGATATCTATATATAAATGTTAATTTAAAGCCTTATTTTTCGCCTTCACAATAATTGCTAACAACACTGGTCAAGAAACCTAGCTTTAAAGGGTTGCTCGCAAATATGGGCGAAATTTAAGAATACTCTTTAGTTAAACGGAACAGAACACATGGTTCATTTGACGTCTTACCGAAAGTCATTTTAATGATCGCAATAGGCCTGCGAAATGCTGTCACGGTGACAAGTTATGTGTTCAAAAGGTTAACAAACAATTCATGAAATTCGTATAAATTGAAGTTTTCTATGAAATCGTTGACTTTTTCGTCCTTTATATGTGCTCTAAACTTATATTTTGCTCAAAAATTGCCGAGAAAGGCAAGAATTCCTCGAGGTTGCTAGAACCGCAATAAGTTACTCCAAACAGCAAGTAACGAATGAATATTCAATTATTAGTAATTGAAGTCGTCGTAACAAAGAAGGATACAAAATCTGGTTTCGACTGGGATTGAGCTCGTCTTTGCCAAATGCGACAAAGGAACTTTACCTTCAAAAAATCCCTCAAAAATTATTTGAGGTAGGTTTTGTGTGTTTTTACAGGAAATAAAACGTTTCGATAATTCTGTTTGATACCAAAGTCATTCCCTCAGGCCAGAATTAAGCTCCTGTTTAGTTTGAAAAAATACGAACAAGAAGGCTTCTTGATACATGTTTTATCGCATTTAGTGTTTCATTTGCTCGGCAAGATGGAGAGAGTCATGAAAGCAAGATATTCACAAATACAAAGGTGCATCCAACGAAAATATGGTCATCCTTATTTGCAGCAACCATCAGTCAAGATTTTCATGAGCTTTTCTTATATTTAGTGCGCACGTAGTGTACTACGTGGCGTGTGCATGCTTAACAATTGGCACACCTGGCGACTATTCATAATTTATAGCCTGGAGCTAGGGGTAGAGGATTTTGAGGGTGGATCACGTGGTTTTCAGGGGGAACAGAGGGACAGCATTCGTCGCCAAAGTATAAAGGGGGTGGGGGAGGGGGGGAACTACGTAAGATTGACTACTAATTAACTGCCAATGAGAGGGAATCAGGTGAATTTTATCGTGACGCAGACAAAATCCTCCAGGCCCCCCCTTTTCCAGGAAGCCCCCCTCCCCAGGGTGCCCCAGGACAACGAATAATTACCGGTCTTTTAGTAACGATAAGTACCCGAAATGTGAAGGATGGTGCTTCTTTTTTTTCTGAGATAGAGAAATTTCAAATGTTATTTTAAAAAGGAATCATATCCGTTTTTCACGGTTACACTTACCATCTGTGGTGCTTTCAGTTTTCTGAGGTTCAGTTGGTTTTCCTTCATCTTCACGAATTAAAAAAGTGAAAAAAAAAGAGTTATGCTCGGTTGGCAACAATTTTCAGCAAATTATCAGCTATCATAAAGCAGTCGCTTTTTTTAATTGGCCCGTGTTTTATTTATTAACATCCAAGTGGAACTGAACAGAGTCACGACACAAACACTGTAACTGAGTGTTCTAAACCCAAATAAAAGTGATTGAAACGGCCACAGGCCGCTCGGTAGCGCAAGCTTTTTCGACTAAATACAGCACGTAGTCGTGCAAAAATCGACCCTCCGTGATTCCCGAGACGAAGGAGACTCTCAAGAAAAGAAAGCTGTTTACGAGGGGTACATGGACAATAAAATACACGTAAAGGATTAACCCTTCACCCCCTAACATCAGTATCCACATTCTCCACACTATTCACTATATATTTCGTAAGGTGCTGACAAAGAGAATTTGTTTGATAATCAAGAGCTGCTTTACTTGGTGATCATTTCCTCTATTCTCATCACCTTAATGTTTGATCCAAGGGTGATATTATAAGGAGAAATTAATTGCTAGTCACTCTTAGGGGTTAAAGGGTTAACAAATAAATTCCATGTTGCCATGCGTCTGTTCAGTAACATAGCACAGATGACGTTAAAATGTGGTAAGAAAAACAGCTGCTATGAGCAAATCACAGAAAGCCCCTAAAATCTGATCATAATAAAGTGAATGATAACAAAAATTATTAAGAACTAGTAATCTTATTATAGTTTTACCTACCGATGTTTTGGACAATGATGTAAGCATGTTCGGCTGCGTAACCAACAGCATTTCTCACCATGCAGGTGTATTTGCCTTCGTCCCTCTTTGTGACATTTAACAAAGTCAACTTCACTCCGTGGAAATCAAACTTTTTGCCACTACTTGGTGGCACAATTACATGTTGGTCTGTTTCTCCTTCATTCACGATTTCGTAGTGAGGACTTTCAATTGAACCGTTTACCGAACTGTTGGCCGAACCGTTGGAACGTACAGGAAACCACCTTAACCACTCGAAATGAGGCATGGAATCACTTAATGCTTTGCATGTTAAGCTGGCATTCTCTCCTCGATAAACTGTGACATTTTCCATGGGTAGAACGACTGGTTCAGCACGAGCTCGTTCTAAAAAATTTAAAAGAGAATACTGTCAATACTGTCAATGTAACCCAAAAACATCCATTGTTTCGTTACTTGTAATGTTTATTTTAATTTGACTTTTTAAATGGGATTTATATTGACCACAAGAGTTTGAAGATTCTTTTTCTCAGATAAAGAAAATCGTGAGTACTCTTCAGAGTCTGTGTCAGCTAGAAAAATTTGAAGGATTTTTCCTCTTACCATGAACGTCTACTTTGTATGTATGATTAATCCATCCGTATGAGTTGCTCACATTACACATGTATGACCCAGTGTCAGAGGGAACCAAGTCCTTCAGACTCAACAAGGTTGTCCATCGGCTCGAATAAAGTTTCCTTTCCTTAAACAATTTTCCGTCTTTATACCATTTCACGGTAGGACGAGGGTTTCCATCGGCAGAACAGTCCAGCCGAACAGAGTGTCCAACGGGTACTGCAAGAAGGTTGCGCCTCATCTTGCTTTGCGGTACCGTAAATCTTGGAGCAGCTGTGAAGCACAGAACAGCCACAGCATTTGAGCGTTGAACTTCTCGACAACTGCCCGGAAGCCACCCCTTACTAACACATTTCAGGTTACAGTCTAAACATTATTTTATTCTAAGTGTTCTACAGTACTGATCTTATGGTGATGGTTCAGAGTTTTATCACATGCGGAGCAAAATTACTGAATGCAGATTGGCTGGGACAGAGGGTATTTTTTTCTTAATCACGAGGGCACTATTGATAATCAAGAGGGCATGATTGCTTGATGCTGATTGAGCCATATTGCTGTTTGCGGCAAGGATTTATTGATTGCAATGTAACTGAATGAAGCCATGTAACGTTGATAACTGTATTCTGTGAATAAAGTGTTGATTGAATCTCTTTAAGAGTTACGTTTGTGTGGTGGCATTGAAAGGGCTTCATCGCGCGGACATCGTGCGCAAATGCAATTTCCTCAAATATTTTTCCATTTAAATAGTAAACAAGTAATTGCTGCATTCTGCGTACAGTAGTTGTAGAGCTTCTTAATTCTTCGACGTGTTTCGGCTAACAATCGTCGACTTCTTTAAGAAGTTTTACAAGTTAACACTAAATTAAAACCGTGGCCCCTACATATTTTTCTAACCTTGCTTTAAAAATGTTCAAAATTTTACATAACTTCGCCTGTTCCTTTTCGTAAGTCCAGCCAAGCCTATATGGTCATTGGCCCCAGTAAAAGCCGCTGACTATGGTTTATAAATAGAGGCGTTTGGTGTTAACTTGTAAAACTCCCTCAAGTATACGACAGTTAGACGAAACGCGTCGGAGAATTAAAAAGTTTTACAACCACTGTTCGCAGAGTGCTGCTCACTAGTTTAGATTTTTAAAAAATGTTTTTAAAAATAATTCTTCACATAGACATTAAAGCAGTAATATAATTTACAATAATTGCTCCGATTCCTGTGGTACCTCACTCCTAAAAAAAAAAAGAAAGAAGAAAAAGAAAGAAATTGTTAACCATGCCACGACATAACGAACATTTTGGTTGTTTTTCCGCAAATTTGTTAAATCGAGGTTTTCGATATGACGAACTCTCGATGTAACGAACCAATTTCCCCGGTCCCTTAGCATTTCGTTAAATCGAGGTTTCACTGTAACACGTCACTCTGACCCATAACCCGTTTGCCCTTTAACTCCCACAAGTGATTAACATGTAATTTCTCCTAGTATAATATCCATACATTATCCAGCAAACAGGCAATGAGAATAATCAAACTTATCACTTAGAAGTTGCTAACACCAAGTTCTCGTTCCTCCAGCATTTATAAGGAAATGCATGTAGCAGCTAAAGGGGAGAATTAACAATCAGATCTTGGCCGTCTCAGCTCCCGAGTCAATGTTTAACGCACAAAGCGTAAAAAAATTATGAAATTTATGGGATAACATATGCGATTGCCAAAATATTATTATTTTTTTATCGGATTTACAAAATCTTAACTTAAAAGATTCATCTAATGGACATTGTAGATGAGCTTCAACACTTCATCAATTTTTTTTCAAGAGATTATAATCCCTTGATAATTTTTTTTCATCATCGGTTTTTGTTCTCGGAGGGTGTTAATGGAGTTATCCGACAGCCTTAAAACAGCCAAAAATTTAGCCGTTAGCCGTAGATTGGCCAAAATTAGCCGTAACGTTACGTAAAAGCCATCACCCCATTGAGACTGTCTTCCAGAGGCAGTTGCTTTTCTCTATTTCAAAGAACATTAATATCGGCTCCTGTATCAACTAAACTGCTTCTACAGTCATTTTTCATTAATTTCTTCCGATTAAAAATGAAAGTACATCTGTCTTAACTCCTACTGTAATTTTGTTGGGATCCAGTGTTGGACCTCAAAGAGAAAAAACACAAGGAATTATGTAGATGTAAAATGCTTTTGTTGTGCAAATTATCTGAGGCGACACACATCTGAATCTCCGCCCTATTCACTTCCTGACGGGATTTTGAACTCCCAGCTGTCTCAGTTCAATACCTTAAGCAATGATAAAAGAAACATTGCACCTTCGTCGGAAATAACTTTTTGTGATGGCAAGTCTGAAATTACCATCTTTTCCCTCCTTATTTGCCTACCTCAGCAACTCCTACTTAAACTGACATCACCTCAGTTTGTCACACACAACTAGTATAAAAGAACTTTGCTCCCCAGGATACCGCTATAAATTGCGTGCGTACTTGTACTTTTAAAAAAACTCAGATGGTTGCAAATGTTTACTTACTTCCCACAAATAGGTGCATTGTAAAAGGGTTCTTGCCACAGTCATTTACTGCGACACAGGTGTAGAGGCCGGTGTCCTCTTTCTTAGCTCTTTTTATCTCTAGGTATCTGTAGAGTTTTAACCTCAGACGTTGATGACTCGATGGACTGAGCGTCTGATTGTCTTTGAGCCAGTAATACCTTGGTTTTGAGGTTTGATCAGCGGTTCTGGTCTGGCAAGTGAGTTTAACATCCTCTCCGCCGGTCACCTTGATGACTTTTACCTCGTTTCCTTCCTTTTCACGAATGTAAGGAACTGAAAAAGAAGCAAAGCTTTTCTGAATTCCACCCGAAACACTAAAGATGCCCTCCTGATCCATAACTAAGATCCATATTACTCGAACACCCGCAATTGCAATATTAATCCTTGGAAGAGGTAACAGTAGTCCTTTAAAAATTACATATTAAATTCAGTGTTCTTACTAACGACTCCCTCATCAGGCGAGCAAACGCGGAAACAAATACTGGGAACCGATGTATAAAGCTTTTTCCCTTGTAGAATCCCCTAAAATAACCCTGACGCAGAAAATGCAGTAACCCTTACATAACTGTGACCCATCTATCAGCTGACTCCGTCACTTTCCACCGCCAATACTATCATAATTATATACTGACTGACAGGTCACATTTCAGAACATACGTTATGAAGTTCACATACTTCTATAAACACCGGTAACCTGCACTGTATGATGATTTTTCCACTTCTGTCAATTACAGTTTTCCAGTGAAAGAAAATTCGTAAGTCCTGGTGTTGTACGTTAATAATCTTAATTCGCGTTATATCAATCTTTATTCCATGTACCTGATCAATTTTTGAATATAGCGATGATTTGGCCAATGAGAGCCTACAGGCTAAGCAAAAAATCTGACAAAATCTATCAAAAAGTCGATGATGCCTGACTTGAACTTATTTCACGAGATGGAACCAGCTCACTATCTAACTGAAATTATTTGATTTACGCTTCATTAGAATATAAATCTCTAAAAATCGTTTCTCAACGAGTTCGTGGCTGGAACTCCTCTTGGCTAACGAGCTGATTTTTTGGGGGTCAATTGGTAAACAATGATAATTTTTTTTGTTTTGTTCTCCTCTACGCCGTGTCTATAGAAGAGTGGGTAACCGGCTCTTCCGTTTGGTCTTTTTCTTTGTTTTGTGAATAAGGCGAAAATCTTGGTCAAATGACTAAAGGAGGTTAATTGCTGAAGAAACTCAGTAGTGCTGTAACGGTGGGAGATTATAGCATCAATCGCTATGACGAAGGGCTAACGCTCGAAACGTCAGCCTTTAAACTCTCCACGGTGACCAAATTGCATTATCAATTCAGTTGATAACACTAAATTACACTGAAAATCATAGTCCGATTTAAATGAATGAAAATTTGTCGACGGTCTAATTAGGAGTTTCGGATTTTTCCTTTCACCACCCCTGCCTTTTCAGAGAATTTGTTTTCTTTAAAGCTTAGGATGCGAACCTAGAACTTAATAATCAAAATATATGTTAATAAATACAGAAAGAATCTTTCAGTTTCATTTTCGCCTACAACACTGGGGTAATTGTTCAGTCGAGTCAAAATTTGTTTACAAAAATAAACGTGAATTTATTCGACGTAACTAGAAAATCCCATCGTACACACCCTATACATCTAAGCCGTACATTAAAATTGCAGAGAAAGAGACAATATCGGAAGCTTTTTTTGGCGACACAAAGCACAAATTGATAAAGATATACGTTTACATCATCGAGTTTGTTTTGCAATCCTTAAGACTTCCAGACTCCTCGGTAAACAAAATAGTTGCTATCACAAGGACGTTATCATTTATGGAAATAATAGTTGTTAGCTGTTGATTTCATACTTTTCTTTTGGAAGATCGTAAATCCCCGTCTTCATAACCTCCTCTTGACTAAAAGGCACAAAGTTTGGCGAAAATGGAGTGAGTCTTTTAAATGAAACCAATTTAAATGCAGAATGCAGTCAATTTCCGCTTGAATAGGAAGAGTTAAAATTACTAAACATGGCGCGTATCCGGATTTTTATTTTGAACCTGGAATTCCTACAAATGCGACAAAGAAGACACTTGGACCATTATCTACTCTTTTTCGATATCATGGATATGATATAATGATATGATGGCCTTGCTGCCAGGCAAGTAAGGCGAATTCTCTTTTAACGAGCTACCTGATTGGCCATGATAGACTTATTATAGTTTAGGATCATTAATTAATGTGCAGCAATCCACATTCAGTCTAAATATCTTGATATTGTTTCATCTGGGTACGTACACACGGTCATGTTCAATTCAATGACTAAACTATAGTTGCTTTAATATATGGATTTAGAGATCACGAGAGATTTTATAAAGTTTCTCCCGAATAAGGCTGAGGATACACTCAGAACAACAATACCCTTATTCTTGACAGCGGATAAGAATGAACGTGGATTCACACCAACCTGAACACGCATCCGCGTGCCAATTATCCAGAAAGCTTAGGACAGCAACAAGAATCGCTTTGAACAGGAGTGCACTTAGTATCATGACGATGAAAATACTCCTACTTTGGGTGATCTCTCGAACAGCTTCCTTGAACAGCTTTAATTGTAATTTCGTCTTGAGCCCGTTAAGGAAAAGGAGATGATTGACTGTCAAATATTTTGGGAAACCAACACACTAACAAAGTAGAATTAGGAGCAACGCTACAAAGATAGCAATTTATATTTGCCTACCTGTTTTTCATGGAGAAACAAATAGCCTTGCACCGGATGCTACAGAAGCCAGCGGATTCTGACTCTGGCTGGATTCCAAGCCCTTAAGGTCAAAGATAATGTCAGTATTTGAAAATCATCGCTAGATCACACACAGAGTCATACCACAACCAAAACATCGAGGTTACATTAAAGTCAAAACTTGGCAGACAGTCAGTAGTGAACAAGGTCCCAACGATTCTTACTTATAATAATCCCGATATATTACTATAAAAACAAATCAGCTTTTACTAATGGCACGCAAAACAACTTGTTTTTAGAACATACAGTATTTCGGCTCTCGTCGTTTAATCTGTAAACTGATGTAAGTCATGTAGTAGTTTCTGTAAGCCGCAGATGTCATATTTTGCGGTTAAAAATAAATATATATTCAATCACTCTGAAAAAACAGTCGAGCATAATTTGGTGGCCGTCGTCTGGTAACATTCAACACCTAATTAAATAATAATAATAATGATAAAAAAAACAAGGGAACAAGCGGATAGCAGAGTCAGTCAAGTTTGACACGCTACTGAATGCGTTCGCGGGAACAGCAGCGTGTCAAACCGAAACCAAAACTTCAGCGAGAACAATTTAACTTCACAAATTTCATAATCTATCTTAATTGGCTGAAGTAGTTCAAACAGTCAAAAATACTTAAAAGGCACAACTGAACAAAATGCATAACTAGCTTAATTGTTTCAACGAAACAAAATGCATAACTTAGCAAAATAAGTTTCCGATGCCGAGAACACCAGAACGCCAACATAAAACGCAGGAAACTGATATTAACAAGTTATAAGTACTATAAGAGTCACTTCCGTTTGATAATGAGGAGGGTTCGCCAGAGTCACAGAAAGAATGACAGGTTTATTTTCTCACACAAAGAAAAGCTTCCCGAATGATAGACAACCGGCATACAGGGCGGAAGTCTTAAAAAAACCTAGACGCATATCTACACGTACTCAGGCTCTTGTAATGGTAAAATCTAGGCGAAGTCTAAATTCGATTTTCACACCTATATTGTACAAGTTTTATGTGCAAGTAAAAGGCACGCGAAAATCATTTACAAGGCATAAGGAAATATTATCGCTTATGCACAATGTTTTCATATGGTTTTCAATGATTCTTTGAAGCTTAAATGTAAAAACTCTTGTAAGCAAGCATGCACAATAGAGCCGTGACACTGATTTGTGAAATTTGTGATTTAATTAGGGAGTTACGACAGCTATGCCTGGGATAACATCGCTCAAAAAAAACACTTCCCTTTTGCCCAAGTATTTTTCGAGTAGCGCATGGTATGTTTGCTGTCTTAAACGGCGCCAGATCTTTTCTGTCAGCAAAACGTGAGAGGGGAGCGTAGAGTTCGAAGCAGAAAAGTGGATAATTTGCCCAAGGGGTTCCCACTTTCAGACTGCGCAAAATTTTGGAATTTTATAAGTGATTATGAACGATAAATTCGTATCGGCACCATAATTTAGGGAGGTTTTGTGAACGCATTATCAGTTTACAACTTGTGAACCATTTCTGTAATCTACTTGGATATTTTCTTTTGAATTAATCGAGTCACACTCTTGGAATTTCATCAGTAATTTACAACGATAAATCCGTATATGTAACACAAGTGAAGCACACGTTAAACTTTCCATACGATTTTAGGAAACTATATTTAATTGACTCTCGATAAATTGACCTGCCATAACGCGTTGATTTTATTATTTTGTAGCCCCAAAAGCCCGGCTTATGACTCTAGAGGTACTGAACTTGATTTTTTACACAAGGCACCCTTGAAGAAGGAAGGTTAGAATAAAATGATTGCTTTTACGACCGTACATTGCACCCAGTTTACATAATTATGTAGATAATTGCTTAAAAATTACCCATTGTTCAGAAGCAAAGACACGTAAGTAATATGCTTCTGCTTTATTTTTATTGTAAGGGGTTTCTTTTTATGTAACATATATCCATTCCTTTAATTTCCTCCTTAACCTGCCTGCAAATAATTAAGTTTTATGTTTTAATTCAAGAGCGAGAAGATAAAACAGAAGCGTTGTAGAGTTCTCTTTACAGACTGAATTCAGGTGAGAACATCAGTAAACTAGTTGATATCATAAGCTCCTCCTGAACCTTTAATTTTATTGCCCTAGTCTTTTTCACAAAGCCTCTTTTATATCTCTGTGTGCCCGCAGCCAGTGATTAATATCTCAGTGAATATATATGCCATATTTCATCAGTCTTTTTAAATTTCATCTTTAAGTTTTTTTGCATTTCCTATTTTAAAATTCATAAATGGCATTCTCTTTTCATCCATGTTAAGAGATATTACACATTTCTTACACTAAAATCTGAATCATGAAGTCAACTTAATTTCAGTGAGTTTGAAACTTCATTGTACATAAGAAAACTTTACTGGAGTATGTTACATTTATTTGCTGTCTTTCTGGTACATGTGATTACATAACCATTTAACTTTCAAGATTTTATTAGTAATTCTCTTTACTGTCTGCCATATAATTCATGTGATGTTTGTGTGGAGAATTTGGAATTGGATCAACCAATTATCCTCTAATTGATATTTTTTTTAAAATTCTCATTACTCGTCTGCTTGATATTGTACTGATTGTACTGATAGTGTAAGGAGAAATTCTGTCTAAGTCACTAGTGGGACTAAAACAGTTAAAATGTGGGATTTCATTATATTGTAATGATTACAAATTTCTTATGCTTTCAAATGTAAAAAAAAAATTGGATGAGAATCTGATGTTATGGAACAATGGAAAAACCTGTTGCTGGTAGCTTATGTCTTTAATGTTTAAATATTCATGGGAAATGCTTTTCTTTGAAAGCAGGGATACAGAAGTTTTTGAAGCTAGTAGAAATAAGCTGTTTGCAAGAAATGAAAAGCAAACTGACAATCATACCTTAATGCTTGACATGCTTCACTCAAACATGTCAGTTGTGTGTACCTACCACTGTAGAGATGTCTTTCATGAAAATATTTTTTGGTGTGGCTGTTGTTCTTTGTTGATCTTTGTTGCCAAAAAAAGCTGGTAAAGGCACTCAACTTCAATTTTTATGTACACAAGGCACCCTCCAAGGTGGAAGAATAGAAGACCATAGACCAATGTTTACCAGGCACTTGCACTCACCACAATTATAATATTCAAGCAATACTCTACATATATAAAACTGATTACCTGATGTCTTCAACCCATTACACCCTAATATCAGTATGCATATTCTCCATACTGTTCTCCATACATTTCCCGATGTGCTGGGAAGGAGAATTTGTTCAACAATCAAGAGGTTCTTCGGTTGATTACCATTTCCTTTATTCTCATGACCTTAATGCTTGATTTAGGGATGATATTGAAAGGAAAAATTAGATACTAGTCACTCTCTGAAATTAAAGTGTTAATTACTGTACACATTTTATGCGCTCCTTGCATTTGTCGGCAACAGTAGTTAAGATTGTTATGAAAGCAAACAGATGAACAAAAGGCAATGAAATAAAGGAAACTGTAAACTTTACCCTATGGTAGAAGAAATGATCACAGAATACTTAAGAAAGGAAACTTGAATTGTGCTAGCCAACTTCCTCTATTGCCCTTCATGTTTTTGATCAAATAAAATTTAATCAGTTGTAGGGTTTGATTACACTGTGTTAAATCACCAGTGTGGACTTGATTCTTCTCAGATGTCAGCTGTTAAAAGATGGATACTAAAAATAGATGACCATAAGAAAAAGTACACATCTTGAAAAAAATCACACTAAAGTAGTGGCATGGTTGATTTGTGATATTTAGAATGACAGAAGCAGGAAAAACATATAGAGCTCTTTCCCTTTTCACTAGTAAGTTTACTAGATTTCGAATTGTACATTCAAACTGCGTGAAATTAAATTTATCCATATCATGCTTCATCATGGTTTGTTTACATGGAAAAGTAATTGTTATTGTAGCTTCACAGATGTTTTCATTGCTGTCGCAACTAACATATTCATAACAAAGTTTCATTTAACATAGAATGTTTCAAGAACTTTCTTTCTTTCTCTCCAACACTATTTACTATTTTTGAAGCACTATTAACCCTTTGCACCCTAACATCAGCATGGCAATTCTCCATACTGTTCTCAATACACTTCATTATGTGCGGGCAGGGAGAATTTGTTTTTAACAATCAAGAGGTTCTTTAGTTTATTATTGCCTTTATTCTCATAACCTTAATGTTTGATTCAGGGGTGATATTGAAAGGGGTAATTAGATGCTAGTCAATATCAGAAATTAATTGTTAAAGGAAGCAGGTTATTAAAAACATTATAACTTTGATTCAAGCAGCCACGTATTTGAATATGTGAGTAACATTTGATGTTTTCACATGTAACACAGGATGATCAAGCTGAAGATGGCCTCAAAAAGGAGTGAACTTGACTGTAACAAATAGGTCACTACTTTAAATTTGAAACTTGAGCACTTGGTAAATATAACTTGGCTTGCAATTCTGATGATTACAGTTTGATGAGGTAATTGAAATGTCAGTCCTCAAGCAGGAACCACCCACATGACCTGTATAGTCATAAGCTATGAGATACCTTGAGGCAAATGTGTTTGTGTCAGTGGAACTATTGTAAGTACAGTACCACCTAGTGACAAAAATTAATAATTTCCTGTAAGTATGAATGTTTGAGAGAAGTTATAGTGGTAAACAACCCTTTTTTGTTAAAATGCATAGGATTTGATGATTGTAATGTATATCTCTTAGCTTTTAAACTTTCAACTTTGTATTAATTATAACTGTTTACCATATTTATTTCTTTCTACCTCAAGTCCTCAAAAGTTGAAGCAGGTTATCTGATTTTCTTTGTTTGGCATTGTGTGATTACATAATTTTGCTGTGTAAGTTGCCACATTGTAACATGTAATATTTTTATTTGAATTGCATTTGCTCAAACTTTCATTAATGCATGGTGTTTCTTACCAATACTCATACCCAGACTAAACATTGATATAAGGAATTGGTCACAAGATATGTGAGTTTTAAAGGGTGGGAAACTGGAAAAGCAAAGATTCCCCTTTAATTAGGACTGAAATTAAAGTGGGCTCTGCTATTTTAATTCATGTTTTTACTTTGACCTGCATGAAAGTTAAATTAATTGGCATCTGCATAATGCACAAAGCAAGAATATAAATAACTTAGCTAAATAGATTATAAAATTGAAATAAGAAAGTTGTGCAGACCATATCTTGCCTTTTATCCTTCTCTGGATATTAATTTTACTCAAATAACATAGTCATTATCAGTCTCTCTCACTCCCACTTTCCATTGAGCTTATGGAAAGATGATAACCTCAGTATTTTTTTAAATGAAGAAAGGAAAGCCTGCCCTCTCACCACAGATAGTTCTTTTGTGCATCATTAGTACACAACTAGTATTATTTGTACATGAAGTTGATTGTTCTAGGTAGGCTAACCTATCAATTTAGTTGGGAAAATTTCTTTGTTTGACTCAATTTTACCTGACAAACCTAAACTGTATAAATAGAAACTTGAAATTTATTTCTTCTCCTTTTGAGGTGTGCATCAAAATATTGAAGTCATGGCAGGCTTGAAATAGAGGTTTATAAGAAATCTGCATGTGTGTGTGTTTTCAACATATAAAACTGGTAAAAAGGTTGCTTAGCTTTTTTCATCAACATACATTTCTTTTTCTAAGAATCTTGTTTATTTGGCCTTTGCTGAGTTCTAATTTTTCAAAAAAATTTTACATTCTTTTGAATATTCTTAGATCTCCTAGTATCAGTTAATATTCATGTAACTAAAATAATTACATCAAATCTTGCAGATGTTTGGTACATTTTTCCGCTGATCCTACTGACATTTCATCATGCGTAGGGATTGGTATTGGCTCTAAAAATATAGTGAAATTAAATATTTGTGCACAGTCTATGCATCAAATATTTGCGATAAAATATTGTATCCTTCTTAAAACTAGTTTATCAGAATAAGAATGAGTTACCAGGCACAAGTATGGCTTTCACAATGATAGTTTCCAAGTTTGAAAAAAGTCACTGCCTACTAAAATCCTCTGTTCCTTTACCTTTGACAGCCCAACCTCATCAAAACATTGGCAACAGGTGTGATTAGCAAATTAACAATACAGACAAGAGAGCCTATTCCCACATATACCCTCCTCAATCCTGTTTGCTTACTATGGACACAACATTTCAAACATGATGTATGTTTCCCTGACTAATTATTTTGTAATGGTGTTTACAAATTGTGGAAAATAGTTGGGTTGAAATATAATACAACAACTTGCCAGTAGATAGTCAAATGAATACTTTTAACATATCAATAAAATTTATTGTTGTGTTTCATGTTAACAGTTGCAATAACTCTACCTTCCAGTAAACTCAACTATTTGCAAACATGAGAAAATACCATCGAAAACTTTTCAACCCATTTAATATAGCCAACAACATCAACTCACATTTAAACTAAAGAGAAAACTTGATTGATGTTTGGAATTGATTGCTGTGATGTAAAAATGAAATCCAGGTATTATCTCAAGTTTTCCATAAATGTCTTCATCATCGAATCCTAAGTCTCTCTTTGTCATCGAGTTTAAATCACGACATTTTAGCTCTAGCTTGTCTTCTTTTAAAGCAAACTTTTGCAGCGTAAGAAATATGTTAGACAAATTTCATACTTCATTAGCTCGAGTTACTAAGATCATGGGCAGTTGGCTTAAAGAAACCTACATTGTAAGTAGTTACATCAGAGGTTACCGAATAATTTAACAGAAAGAATCTCTAAAACACGCCTTGTATTTCCAGCCAGAGGACAATCATGAAACAAGCAGTCATACCTGGAAACTTCAACAGAAGATATAAGAGAAGCCCATACGATTCTGGCGTCTTGATTTACTAATTCACTGCTATCACGTCTATACTCTTCAATCGACTGGTGATGTCTGGACTCGAAGTAGTTTACCGTCGTTTCTTTCAGTTTTGGCTCATTTTCCCAAACCAAAATTATCAGTCACGCTCAAAAGAATATAATTTCAACTGATGCTGACATCGCACACTTCCTCTGAAGAAGATAAGATTCTCTATCTTCGAAAATTTGCTCATCGATCGCATTAAGAACCACAACGGAGGTCCTCAGCTGCCTGAAGATACCGCTGACTAGAATGCGTTTTATCGCAAGTTGTGAGAACGTTGTCCCCGGGTTCCAGACCTCGCCAATTCTTCCCTTCCCTCCCCATCCCCCGGACTGGTCTCTTCATTCCCTTGAAGAAACTCTCCTACAGCCAGTGCTGAAGAGTTTTATTACAGTTTTTATTTTTATGAGGGGCTAGAAAATAAATCAACAAGAGCTCCGCTTTTAGGCTTGGCTAAATCTCTATATTAAAGAGATGTCTGTGACAGTCCATGACGAATAAACTGACTATACACAATTCAAACCTTTCCTTCTCCATGCCAAATTACCTATTACATCTAATTCTCCTCTACATTCCCCAATACGGAGGACTGACGACCTGGAAATAAAACATAAATATCACAGGTTCACGGTGCAAAAATAACAAACTTCTCAAATGATGTACTAGATGAATATGTCAAAGTTCACCAGTTGGACGACGTGTAGCGAGAGTGGGGTATGGAAATAATTAAACCAAGGGTAATAGAGGTGGTAATGAAATTCTCCATCACCAGACAACAATGAAAAAGTCCATCTAACCTTTATATAAGTGGAGAAAAATCTTGCCTACGTTATTGTGTCGAATCTCGAATTTCTCTTGGATCTAGGCTGGAGCCCTGAAATCTCCAAATAGAACTTCTTTCTTAGGGATTTCCCTCAAAATTCTACTTCAGCCTTTTCCTATTCCCTCGTGCTAAAAACACTTGTTTCTCACAAATCCTTGACCATTCTGAATACAATATCACTACCAGCCCACTTACACCGAACTCAAACGGTAGTTTTGGTATGGAATTACGTTGCATAACAGAAACACCGTTCTAAAACATCGTGACAGCTTTATTTCATGAAAAAAAAATTGTACATACAAACCTTTTGATGTCACAAGCACCATTAGAATCGATGACTGCTTTTAAATTGGTATACGAATATCTCGCCACAGCATTAGGCGTGAAATGGCTGAAATGGCTTCTACCAAGAAAGGATGAATTCTTGCTGCTATTGTTGTGCTGTGATGTTTTATCCTCGAAAAGTATTCCTAGGAGATTCTCTGGCAAAGTGTTAACCTTCTCATTTGACAAAGGATTTCCTGTTATTATAGCCAACAAATCTTTTTTTCTTCATATTTTGCATTTTTTGTATAACGCAACTTTTTAGCCGTATATCAACATTTTAATGGAATATACATGTATCCACATTATTTCCTTTTCATCAAAATTTGATCTTTTTTATCTCCATTTTCAATTGTCGCCACGGATATCTCAGAAAATGCAGTGACCATGCGCAACTGCTTTACCATGGATGGAAATGTTAAATTCACGGCACTTTAAAAAGAAACTGCAAAATTACTGTCTCGCATTTCATAACTCGCCAGTAATGTGTGGCTGAGTTTAGGCTGAACAGCCATACTGAAAAAGAAAAAACACCAACTTAATGTTAGAAGATGAGGTTTAAAGATAAGTACTTCCTACAAATTGTCCTGAAGGTTGTCAATGTCGTTCGCAGAGTCCTCGTCCTTTTTGACAAGTGGTCGCGCGCCCCTTCAGGGAACTAAATTGTCTGGTCATCCGACTTCCTTACGAGCATCTTAAACGCAAGTGTAAAGATAAACTAAAATTCTCGCCACGCCCCGCATAACGTGATTGATTCGCAATCGTTTGCTTAGACAAGTTAGTAAATGGCCACAGCATGGATGTTACAAAATTGCCATTGCAAGTCAGTAAGTTGCAAGAGCAAATTACTTAATCAGGGGTCATCGCAAGTTACTGAGCTACACCTGCAAGTTATAAGAATACCACAACAAGATATTAGAGTGCCATTAGAAGTTAATAAGTTTCTATAGGAAGGTACTAAAATAACATGACAAATTCCTAAATTACCATTGCAACGTACTACATTGCCACTGCCATTGGTTAGCTGCTGGAGTAAGTTACTAAATTGCTAATGCAATTTACTAAATAGCCATTTCAAGGTACAACAATACAAAGGCAAATTCAGTCTTAAATTGCCTTTGCAAACCGTACTAAATTGCCACTGCAAATTGCTCAGTTGCTATTGTAAGATACTGAAATACCATGGCAAGTTATCAAATTGCTTTTGCAAGTTACTAAATTACCACTGCAAGTTACTAAAATAAGATGGCAAATTCCTAAATTGCCATTTCAATTGCTATTGCAAATTGCCAAGTTGCTATTGCAAGTCACTAAAATACCATGAGAAGGAATTGAAATAAGACAGCAAATTTCTAAATTGCCATTTCAAAGTTCTCAATTACCACTGCAAATCACATGTTACTAAAATACCATGGTAAGTTACTAGATTACCTTTGCAATTTACTAAGTTACCATTGCAAGTTGTTATGTTATCATTGTAAGGCACCAAGTGATGCCATGCAAGTTTAGGTTGCAATTGCAAGTTGCATGTCATTATGTTGCCATTGCAAGTTACCAAGATGTGGTCCGAAGTAAGCAACTTGCGCGCCAAGTTACGAAGTTGCCAACCAACAAACAAACAAAAGAAAAAAGCACAGTCAACGGTAACGGTTAAATTCAACTTTCCATTAAATTATCGTTAGGAGGGTTAGTTGGATAACATATTAAAAAAGCTCACCAGGCTGTTGGTCATGAGTTGGAAGAATTGGAAGAGCCTCTGTGAATTACAAAGAAAAACCCTCAGTATATGCGAGTGAACTAAATGGCATTAAGTGATTTTTCTTGAAAATACAACCTAGACAAATAATATTATCAGGAATTAAAAAAGCATACACTGAGAGAGAGTATAAGCTAACAAACTCTTTATATCTTTAACCTTATTCACACATTTCCTTATTTTCTATACATATGTAGTTGTTTTTATGGTTACCCATTATTTGCATTTTATCGCTCGATCATAATCTTATTTTATTCAAACTACCATTAATGCTGGTCATGTCGCCAGACTATATCTCTAACAGTCATTTCCACCAACCCCTTCAGTGAACATGTTTCACAACATAGGGATTTGTAAGAGGAAAAGCCCAACAAATTAAAATAAAACGAAACAAGCGTGTCTCTGTTCAAATACCAAAACTGGTCATCTGCTACCTCAATCAGATTCAAAACTAAAACCAGTTGCGACTTGATCACCCTCGTTTTCCCGCGCTTTATGCAGTTTGCTTGTTTTTACTTCGAGTTCGCATTAGATGCCTGCCCGTGATATTTTTCTTTCTATGCCAGTTTGGCTTTTGAGATTGCTTTGGTTTTGATTTCACGACGCTCAATCGAAAAGTGCTCTAATGTGACATACCATACGTACCTCCTTTACCCACAGGACGCACTTACAGAGGCTAATCCTGGTAGAACCTAGGACATATGTCACCTATGACCCCAACGTTACACGAGGCCTATTACACCGATGATTTTTTTTCAAAGCTTGAAGGTGACCTGTCATCGGAAAGTGTTGGGTTCAAATTCTCACCTGAAGTCAGATTTCCCTCTTTCCTACGTTAATTTGACATCTTTAAATTTACTTATTTTGTGCGAACATTTTTCCTCGATGGTTGTGTACTTTATAGCCAGTTCATAAAATCATTTTCTTCTTAACGAACCTGTCTCACAGATAAACCCGTTCCTCTGACTACATGACGCAGTCCTCCATCTTCCTTCATCTTTATGAGGATTCATGAGTACGCATTCCATGGACTGGTTAGGTTTTGAGGGTTCACTGACATTCCAGTTGGTGTATCTGCGAGGACTGTTATCTGTCCAAAGGAAAGAGTCCTCCCAGATCAAGCCATAAAGGCCAATCCAAAAATCAGTGCTGGTTTCTCGAACGATAGTATTCAAGAATGCCTGTTCTTGCCTGGAAAATGAAAAGCCATAACCTCTTTTAGTTCGATTTAGTTTTGGTAAATAAACTTGTCTTCCAATTTGTTTGGACTCAACAACTGCTTAGTCTTAATTGGACACTAGTTGGAACGAGCACCCACTTAAGGGCAAATGCAATTATTTCATCGCTAATCAGCATCTTTAAAAATGCCTGAAAATTTGAAAACAAACCAAAGAGCATGTCAGCCTCGGAGAAAGCAATATGAATCAAAGTGGTTTAAAACGGTTTCGTTTCTTATCAAACGTCAATTCTTTGATTAACTGATATTTCTACTTTTTTTTGTTGAACTGAAGGAAACAAAGAAATGTCTGAACGAATTTTGCTAAATCTTGATCTGATTATCAGCCAGGTACAAATTCATCTCTGGATAAGAGGATCAGGAAGCAATTTTTCCCGTTAGACAATCACAATATCTGTGGGTACCAATTAGGACTCTAGGACGACGTGACAGCAAACCTATTTCAGGAAGTAGAGTTGTATTCTGCTTTCAGAAAAGATTGCACAGATGTGACAGCTTATCATAAGAACATTACGCGACAAGCCTCGAGCACACCTCATCACGAAACAAAACAAAACACTGCAATACCAATAAGTTTTCGACATAAAAGAGAAAAGAGACGAGCTAAAATAACTAACCGTAGAAGGCTCAGACTAGAGCTGTGGTATAAACGCGTAACTTGTAAGATTAATAATGGTAGAAGGACCAAGAGGAGTCCAATTCGGTCTTTAATCATAGGAGTGATTAATAAAATCTGGCGACCGCGAAGCAGGAGTTCTATTTGTTAATTACGAGTATGATTGCAGAAAGAATTGGACGACATAAACTCCTGTTATCAATTAATCAAAACTATAACAAAATTTGAGAAAGAAGCTGGACATCAGTTGTACGTTTTCATAAAAAATAACCTACAGTTAACTCGGAGAAATGCGAGTCAACAGCGCGCGCACATGACGCGTTCTGTCCACATTTACAAGGCCTGACGTGTTAACTGTCCCTTTGACTAAGACATAGTATGATGCTACTCCGGTTTAAAGATTAAATGAATGTGACCGAGAAGTTACAATTCATAGACCCAACGTTTCGACACTCCTGTCTAGTGCCTTCATCAAGGGTGATCAAATTGCTGCCACAAGAGGTATTTTAATATGCTCACTAATTAGCTGACCTTTTTTCTGACGAGGTGTAAGTGGGCGTCAGGTAAGAAGCCGCCGTCATCACGATTAAACTGTCCTATTACACTGTCCAATTACAAACATGACGCAAACATTGTGCTATTAGCGCTAAGATCGGGCTGGTGATAACCAATCATAGTAAATGCAAAGTTGTATACTTTGAAAGTAAAATTTGGAGAACGACCTTCAAAAGAAGGCTGATACGAAGGAGGGACACTGAAGTAAAACCCGACCCAGCTCCACTCCCCCGACCCATGTTCCCATTCCTTCCTCTCCTCCCTTAATGTTTCTCTCAAGCCCTTTGACCTTGTTTTATTTCCCTTTGCTCTTTTTTTTTTTTGTTAACGATTCACATCATGACGTTTCTTGTTTCAAACCCACAAGGTACTTTATTTCAACCAAAATCAATCAAAAATAACATTTTAACTATGGATGAAATTGAAACGCACGAGGAAATAAGTCAAAGAAAAAACACTTAAGGTGTGAGCACCGTTTCCTACTAACATCTCCTTAAAGCCGTCCATCGTTGCGTGACGAGACCAAACATGCTGCAGAAAAGAGCGGTCCCTTTGGCAAGGAAACTGGTTCTAACAACTAAAACGTTGATTCTTTCCCTTCGACGGTTATAGAAAAAAACTAATCGAAACTGAACTGAAGAATTGAATTTGAACAAAGCCTGACAAACCCTTTTGTGTTTCTTTGAGGGTATGCAGTTTTATTCATTTATTTTGCTAAACTGAAATTCTGCTCATGGTTAATTTACTATGTTTATTACATTTTGAAATCCGTTGTGATCCTTGCAATCTGACAGGCTCTCATCGTGCGATTTATCCACGAATCGCACCACTTTATGTTCTTAATCGCATCTTTATCCAAGTCAATGAGACAACTTTATTAAAACACATCAACCATTCAAGGCTTATTTAAAGAAATCCATCAAATCGCAAAGAAAATGAAAGACAGCTTTCACAACTTTTTCCAAACCAGCTCATCACTGAATCAATAAAATATTTGTAGAAACTGAAATAATCTATATTTGAGCGACTGTATTTTGCGATTTCCAAATAGATGTAACAAAGTGATAACTGCTCTTCATGTCGGGCAATTTTAGATGTCATGCTGTTATTTTTTCCCCCTCGGTCTTTTTTCTCTTTTAACTTTACTTTTGAGTTCCTCTTTTATGTGGCTTTTTATCTACAATCAGTTAGTGCCAAAATCATTCCCAAGTCCTTTTAGGTCTGGCACTATTACGTACTCATTTGACTGGACTACGTACTTCACTTGAAGTGAACCGATGTTGTGTCGGCTTTTCATCGTTGCGGACGAGCTCGCTCGGCCTTTCTTCACCTGCCAATAACAGAGACCGGAAGCTATGATCAACATAACGACCACGCCCACTGAAACTGCGATCACAGCCGCCGGGTACCTTATTCTATCAGTCCAACCCATTGATGTCTTCGCAACTGCTTCGCTTTCAGAACTGATGGATGTCAGGCTAACAGTAAAACCTAAACAAAAATTAACCAAACATATTTATCTCTCCATCTTGAATGAATTCCTTCCTTTCCCCAGCACTACTTCAAAAACATTTAAA